CATCAACAATGGGCGCTGCGTGTCTTATGGAGTCTTGGCTTTGTTGCCCCATCAGAGCTCCATTCGGCGGTTTTTAGACGAAGAAAGTCAACATCGCTCGGTGAAAACCTGCTGGGTGTTTTATTGGTCTTTGAATGGAGACTGACAGGCCCGGTCAAGGTTCGACGGCGTCAGCGTCTACATCAAGTTGAATAACTGCTTTGTGCTAATGTATTTCGTGCAGTGGTCGAGATAAGTCACCGGATCTTAAGCAGTGGTCAGTGTAGTATCTTAACTTGTCTCAACATACCGTGTCCTTCCGGCTTCTATCCTGTAATTGGGCCTCATCATCTTGATGGGGTTACCGGCTACATCCACTAATCAATTACTTCTTGTTTATTCTCTTTGTTTATAATTTGGCAGTTTTTCCGTATACTTGTCAGACTCCGGTCCTCCGGTTCTAGACCTTCTGCTTATGACTTCTTTATATTTCGAGAGATACCGGCAAAGCCAATATGGCCGCTGCATCATACTGTTGTCACATCACGATTGATGTGTTTATTTATTATCATTGCGCCAAGACTCCAGAAAACGAAGATGTCTCATATTAAATCTAGAACGAGTCTTTTGAATAGCGAATAGAATCAAGCAACCCTCAATCAAGTATCCGCGGCTTGCGTCGAAATAGGTACCCTTGTAGAAGGCGGGACAGGACGAATCTTCTTGAGACTGACCCGCATCGCCTTTCATCATAGGAATGTAAGACCGGTCCCCCTAATCGATCCTGGTACTATCGTGCTGCTGTCTTTCACTTCCTCGCGAATCACATGACCTTTATGCCATTCACTATCCGGCTACGTGTTTTTGTCTCCTCGTTTCTTTCTTCTTTCTTCAATACTCTACTCCATACAGGTTTATTTTACGCCAACTTCAGTCCACAACAAATGGAACCATTTTCCTGAAACAAACAATACAGAGATATTAGAACGAGCTCAGATCAACCAGGAACAAGTCGGTAGTGCCGTACTTCTTCCATGATCCAGTCGAAAGACTGATTGACCTCGCCAAGCAAATACTGGCCAGCGTTGAGGACATAGATGAGTACATACCAACCATTGTTCCCACCCATTACCTGGCCATGGAAGTGAATGTTGTCAGGGTTTCAGCTCTGTGCCTTGTTTACCCTGTCGAAATTATCCTTTCGTGCATACTCCCACTTGGCTTCTTTATCCATTGCCAGAATGAGGTCACGAAATCCTCACGGTCAATCTAAGATGAGTGGCCAATCGGCTATGTGGCGGGGGCAAGAAAAAGAATATTTGCGCTGCTAGAATACCAAAACACAAGTCTCAAGGTGGTCATATTTTGAAAAACGCAATAGTGACCCAGCAAGTGGGACTTCGGGGCGTAGTCCTCCAGCGTAACGCTGCCTTTATATCCAAACAGGCAGCCAAGTATGCCACTTGCCCGGACATCGCGGTGCTTGACTGGAAGCCTGAAACAGCATATTTGTCTTCAATCTTTCGCGCGGGCAGTGATCCCAAGTACATGGCACCTTCCATCAGGAAGATGGGGAGGCCAGCTTTCGACTCCCCCTCCTAGGGTTCCTAGTTCGAGCCTTAGCTCGATAAATTTCGTGTTTGGTCCTCTCCTTTGATGGTGCGTCATTCGTGTTGGCGATGGAGAATGCTATCAGGGTTGAGGTTCTGGGATGATGGCTGTAAGACAACGAGCAACTTTAGCAGCTACTCTCTGGCTTCCGGGTGCTTTCTTGTTTTTATTTCGAGGCATACTTGCCATGAACTTACTTTCACCAAGTGTTGTCATGTTTGTTGATAGGCGCGGAAAACAGAGGCAATTGTACATGTGAAAAACAACCTGGATACTTGCATCAATGCTGGGCTGGGTGATTTCTAAAGGACTCCTCTGCATTTAGCCAGGTGTTCGATGTTCATATTCAACTTCAACAATGTCTTTGACGGCATCAGTTAGCCTAAGCCTTCCCAGGGAGCGTTCTTTACGGAGACACCTGAAACCCTCAACAAAGGACATCCTTTCGGCATGTTTTGCTCTGGTTTCAAATACGAGCACTTACAAGTCAGAATCGTGAACATCTGGAGGTAGTTGTGGGTCGCCACATGGACTTGCCCGGCCTGGGCTTCATCATAAAAGGCCATTAGTGGACCTTTTTTGTGGCTCACAGATCCGGCAGACATGTAGTAAGACTCCTTAGTCTTTTCCATCAGTCCACTTTGTACTAACTTTTCCTCGGTTTGTTGAGAAGCTGTTTCCATGTTTCGCCACATGTACGATCCTGGATTTCGTATAATAAGGGCTAACTAGCTAGGGGCCTCTTATGCCAACGCACTATAGAACTATTATGGTCGATAGGAAACAACGGCGCTGCTTCTGAGTCTAGTAAGTTCTCAGATACTTGACCTCATGAGAAAAGGGACACTGCAAATGAAGTCCAAGCATCTTGGGCTCTATATTATCTTGACAGGCTTGTGCAATTGCCATGATAAACAGGACCTTCCAAAGAAAATCTCCTTGAAAACAGAGGCAAATGGCAAGCGCTGGATTGAAAGGATATCAGAGACCCAATCTCCCATCTATGCAGGAAACATGATTAGAACCTTCCCGCTCTTCATGCAAAGCGATCCAAAGACAAGCCGATGCGTGTTTATGCAACTTTCACCCGATCCCAGACCTAAGGAGGGATCCTCCGAGCTGGTTCCAATCCCATATTACCTACAGCTATCCCATTACTGGGGGAAGCTTCAATATCATTGCCGGTAGACTGCAGCAAAAAGGCCAGCGTCGGGCACAACCAGGGATGGTTTAATTTGACACAAAATATCAAACCACTACGGGGACACATTCGTCCCATTATCGGGCGCCCTGAAAGCGATCCCTAAAAATGTTCCGCTTTTTCACCATGACGATCTAAGTCCGTCACTGAATCAACGCTTCTCTTCACAGTATCACTTTTCTCTCTCCGAGCAACTCAGGATATGCACAATATGGCCTATTCAGTACTGGTTGAGAAAACACTGACAAGAAAGAAAAAGCATGACGATTTACCCATCCAGGATGGGGAAGACTGTAGTCGCCAATTGCACATTTGGAAAAATGCCAGTCCAGGAGACCACGCGGGCGGTCATAATCTTAATATGCAACTCGAAGAACTCAGATACTCCGCAATAATCCCGACTTTCAAGGTGACGGATCAGGGTCCCTCGGGCTGGGCAAGCTACTCCAACCTCTACACATCCCTGTGGTGAGCCCGAGCGGAAACGGCTGCTTGAGGTTGCTCAAAGAAAGCAATATCTCATAATCAAACTACTAAACACAAAAACCAAAGTGTGCTCCGGATTTAGGCATTCATCTGAAGAGTTTCATTGACGAGGCACGCAGCGTGCTATTGTGCGCCTCGTGAATTTTAAAGAACAGACACCCAGTTAAACCATCCCTGTTGACCAAGCGCGGTACATCCAACATAGGGCCAGTGGTCAAAGCATCCAGTGGTTTACTTTCCTGCCTACTAGGGCCTGAAGTGCCCGGCTGCATCATGTGTAGCTCGGTTGCTGTGCGTTGGTGGGGATATTCTTGACGGGAGATTCGCAGAACCTTGTGTTTACAACGACACCAACTAGCGAAGCTGGTGCTGATCTTATCTATATCATAGAGACAGTATATTTTCCCATGCTTAGGGAACCCGCACGCGCCTTGGCTAGAATTGGTGTTTTAGGTGTATTCGATGGATAACTTCTTTAACAAGGATTTAAATGCGAGCACTATGGAGCATGCACGCGTTGCTCTGGTCCGGTTTCTCAGGCTCGGGAGCTACATGCTGCCGTGGTAGTCAGTCCAGAATTAATTATCTTCACCTCAAAGGATGAGATTTTACCAATCTTTGAGCGCATATCTCTGGGAGAACCCAGGGTGTATCCATTGCGGCGTTTCAATCGTGCACTATACCTTGGAAAGTTCCGGAAGATGCATGCTTGTAACTGAGTTTACTTAATATATGGACCTCCCGTGGTTTCTTTCGGGGCAAACGACCGAGATGGAAGCCACTCGGCGACATGAACTGAATGTGAAATTATACACATCTCTCTAACGAGCGCGACCCAGTTTGCCGCTGTACCAATTTACGTGCATCTCTATTCATAAAACGCCCGTCTTTTCTTCCAGTCACACCCGAGTCTAGATAATCGATCTCAGATCTCTTAGTTGATCCAACAAAAGTCTTTCGAAATGCTCAGGCTTCTCGGCTCAGCCCTCCCCCTCGGGTCTGCTTTCTCTGTAGGATACAGATTCCTCAGATGTTTTCTCCAGTGAGAATGGAGGTATTCCAATCGGGTAACAGGAGGCATCTTGGGCCAGTCTTATAATAACGGTACAACCTATGCATCTAATTCAATTCCGCTTATACAGTCGTAAAAACGTCTCATGCCACAAAGCGGGCCACCCATGCTTCTCGGGTTACATACTTACGTGCTAATCATGCTGTACATTGAAAATGATCGACAACATGGCCTATTGTTCCTCTCCCTCTCTGGGGTCCTCTCTGAAGTTTCCGACATCGCGGCCAACACAGCTTAGGTACCGACAATGTAAGCATCTCTCCAGCAGAGGATCACCCTTCATGAGGTTAGTATCAATTACCACACTGGCGAGGTTCATTTAATATCCTATTAACTCGACAGAGCTAATCAACAAGCTCAATTGATGATCACCATCTTGAGTTTCTCGCAAACCCAGACCCACATTTACGGTTTCCTTCTGTCAGTTCCCTTGCAACAATCGACGCAAAAGGTGCCGCGATGCCAATTTTGCGGGAATCAGTAAGCATCACGGGATTCACAAGAAAGAAAAATCCCAGTGTATTGTCTATCTAGCCCCTGTGTCCTCATTCTTGCAAACATGATGCGTTTCATGGACTCGGTAGCTAGATGATAGCAAAGGTGGACGTTCGCTTTGTACATACTGTCCACGTCTCTATAAGCTTGACATAACGCTTATCTTAATTTAGGGTATTTCTCAATTTATATTTCAGGATTATGCATAAGGTCATCAAATCCCTTGGACACGTTTTCATGCAGGGCTGCGATAGCGGCAAGTCGCACTCGGGGGTATCTTAGGAGGTTGTGGCCCGCTGCAAATGCGAGGATTGGCTCTGAGGGCTGTAGTGTTTGAAGGAAAGTGCGTTCGTCGTTGATCCAGATCACGTAGTGCAAATGATCCGAGGTGAGAGTCTCTGCGAGACTGTGCAGAGCGACGTGAAAATTTATCCTGTATGATATCAATGATATAGCATCTGTGGGCTCGATTCCGTTTCTGTCCCGCATTTCACAAGGAAACAGCTTACTCTGGATCATTCGCTGGAGGCTTGTAGCAGACATGCCCGCACCTCTTGGATATGCACCCCAAAGGGTGGGACATGTCTGGCGCTGTAGCTGGCTGGGAGACCTGCGTCCGTGTTTCACTGTTGGAAGTATCCGCGGAAGACATTTCTTTGCTCTTAAAGTATCACCCTACTAATGGATTACCCAGACCGTCACTCGAAAATATCAGTACTTACTGCGCGCGGATGCCAACCGAATATAAAACGACGGGGTTCGTGAACAGTCTGGTCTGACCAACAAGACAAGGCAGCACTACCCCACTTTCGGTACTCGTGCCTGTGCGATCTTAGCATGCTCTCTTTGAACGGACGCACACATGCCAGTTGATGGTCTACCCGCTGGAGCTCCTTCCGAGTCGTCCTCATAGCCCCCTTTAGCTCTGCATTTTTTTTGTACAGATAAGAAACAGAAATAAAGATTACAATACATCTAGATGAGCCATAATTAGCAGTGGGAGGCCATGTCCGCCTGTCTGACATTGGTGGAAAGCGTGTTGTTGGGTTGAAGGGCTGTCCGTCACGAAAAACCATGTCCATGGCTTTAATTTCGACAATAGGAGGAAACATTCCATTATCGTGAGAGATGCGCAAGTCCGTTCAGATCGCGTAGAGACTTGCATGCTGACCAATGCGCCCGGATATTCTCTTGTTTCTCTGTGAATATTATAGCTGGCTTCGGTCAACTATCGGTTTCCAAGCTTCGCCATGTCCTGCGATTTGGTAGATGTGTCAGCTTCTTAAAAGCGGTCTGTTTATTCTGGACATACCTGTCGCTTCGGCGATTTCATATTTTGGTCATTTTCCGTAATGATATGCACAGGCTATACACCAAGTCGATTCATATGTAGAATTATGGTGTTCGAAAGTTGAGTGTTGCCTACTGGCCAGCAAAGGAAACGTTTGCAGAAGAGTCAAACATGATATTTGCAAAGCACAAATGTCTGCAATTTTATCATTAATAGGCACAGATGTCTGATTCTCTAATGGCTCTTCACTTGTATTGTCAGTAACCCTAATGAGATACTTCTGATAATTCTGACAATTCTAAACGTTTGACCATTTCCTCCCTCTTGTTATGATATTAATAATACAAAATCTGACTTGTGCGGCGCTTCAGATGTTTTTTTTTTTTTTTTTTTTTCTTAAAATTTCGCAATGGAACACCATTAATAGTGACTGAGCAGGATCTGATCTATTATTCAAGGCCATACCGTTGAACAACTCTCGAAGTCATTACAGATTTCCTATAAGGTCATCATAATTAAGAATAGATTATGTACTATAAGGGAAAACAATCTACCACACCGGCAGACGAACATAAGAAAAGAAATCGCCATCAACCGAACGAAGACAGCGCGTCACGAGACAGACAAATCTATCCAAACGGCCAGATACCATTCCACACACCTGGATATATCTATCATCACAAATCTATCACCATCTAGACACCCTCTATCCCCCAAAACCCATCTAACTTAGTTATTCTTCCTCGACGCCCTCCCCTTCTCCGACCACGGGAAATGCGTTGCCGGAATCCGCACAAAACTATTACTATCATTCGCCAACCCCGCCAAACAAACGTACCACGCCTGGAACGCCGCCAACAACGCAAACAGCCCACCAGCCTTGATAACAGGCTCATTGGGCGACGAGGAGCCGTTGCGGTGGATGTATCCGATTCCGAGAAGCAGGAAGGCGATATCGACGGTGATGAAGATGCCACAGAAGACGAAGGTGGATTTTAGGGTGCAGAGGACGAGGAGGAAGGTGAATATGAACCAGCCCTACACCTATCAGCACGAGTGATTATGGATGGATGATGGGGAGGAAAGGGTAGGACGTACCAAAAGGAATAAACCGAGAGAGTCGTAGAACATGTCCGTGGTCCCGCCTCCGGCTTTTTCTAGGCTAGACATGATACTGAATCCGCCGGGAGTGAAGACAATGGCCAGGGAGATCCAGAAACCGCCGTACGAGGACAGCGCAGTTGCACCGAATGTGTTTCCAGCGGCCATTTCCCTTCATTTATCAGCACGCTTCCCTAAACCTGTTGAAATCGGGGAAAAGAACATACCACATCCCCGCACAAAGCTGCACCAACCCACCATACGCAAACGCCGGCCCAACAACAATATTCGGCTCCGTAATATCCCTCGCCCCCATATTAATACACCCCAGGATGAACGTAGTCAACGCGAAAGCCGCAAGCCCCAACGGCGCCGGATTCCCCATCTTCTGCGTCTCGACGGGCCCGGGACGATGCAGACCGGGCTGCAGCTCGCTGGCGAAAGCCGGGAGCTGGGTCTCAGCTGTGTTGATGCGAGCGAGGGGGCCATAGCGAGGGTCTATGTAGTAGTATTGGGGGGGAGTGTTGTTGGTGTTGTCGGTGGTATTGGAGGGATTGGTGTTGTTGGTTTGTTCTTTGTCAATTATGTCAGTCATTTTGGCGGTGGTACGGCTTGTTGCCGGTGTGGTTGGGACTAGTTGGGTAGGTAATCGAGACTAGCCTGGAGAAAGGAATAAACCAGAGAAAATTGAGCAGGATCTGGGGGACCTAAATACCCCCAACCCCGACAAACTCTGACTCCAGGGGATAACCCCAGGAAGGGGATCGACCGGGAGAACCAGAATCCAATCTATGACTACATCACCATAAGATTCGAATCTGCATAGCGCAGGGTAGCAATTAAAAGGAGATATTCCTGCATATCTAACCTAATCCGGGGACGTGGAGAAACCCCGACTAAAATGCGGGGGAAGAAGGTTGAAAATCAGCGAATAGACGAGCTAAGCCGCGGCCATTATTGGCCGGGACTAATGGAGGTTTGGCCGCTTGGGCCTTGATTGGAGCCGATCGTTGGAGATATTACAGGTCGCTTGTCTCACATGGAAAATCGGTTAGTAACAAATGCCGATAACTAACTAGGGATTGCGAGTACTGAGGCAAGTCTGGTCGTCATAGCTTTATCGGGCGAATTAGGGCCAATAAACGGTGTGCACTAGGTAGGTTTGACTGCAAAATCCTGGTGTGCAGTTTTGTGCATGTAGTTATGCGTGTTGGTTTATGAGTGTTAGTAATTATGCATGGCGTGTTCGAGTAGAGGTCTAAAGCCAATGCCTACTGCAGAGACATATACAGCAGATAACTACTCTGTACAGAGCTCCGTACTGTATTCCCATAGACAGCTGGTGCCAATTATGCCGGTCGCCACAAAGACACGTTTCAGGACAAAAGAGACTTTCCAACAAACACTAGTAAGCTCAATGGCCACGCAATGACAAGCAATGACCAGCAGACGTCCATTGCAGTCCTGACCAGCCCAGCCAGTATCTTCCACGCTCCCTCAATTGTAGATAATATCCGAGAGGCAGTAGCATAGGCACCGATAGCACCGGCTAAATTAAATTCGCGTCCGTCTATGTCAGGTATCGGATTGCCGCAGCTTCGTTGGGATCGATATGCGTAGGTTGGCGGAACCTTAGTTAGCGAATGCTTGGTATTAGTGCTGAGCAGGTCAATTGGTGATTCTGACAGCCGTGGTAAGGGTGAACTGTTTAGCAGAGACCATATAGCGACAAAGGAAGCCTCGATTGAACCCGTCTTCATCCGTCATCGTTGCCCCGACCATGTGTAGTCCATAGGCGTACTGGTTCTGCATGGCCGGTGGTGGTGCGGTTCGTGGGCAGCAGGATAAAGAGGAATTCGTATCCGCAACGGACAATGGAAGCAACTAGCGTGTTAGTATCCATGGATGCGTTGAGACCATATGCGAGGCTCTGCAAATACCAGCAGGCTAAACGCGCGTTGGCAGGTTGGCCAGGTGGGATGCGAACGCACAACCAGGTGCGGGGTTAAGACAGACGTTATGGCACTGTTTACCAGTGCTAAACCAGATATCAATATCTACGTAAGAACATAGCTACAGCTAGTGGACCAGCTACAAATAGCTCAATCTACTGGTCCAAGCGTATAGTGGGATCAATTCCCGAAGAATAGACCTACGACCAATTGAGTCTGGAGAAGTCCATTTCAACTCCATATGTACAATACAAGGTGAGATGTAGAGGATGATGCTGAAGATCAAGAAAAGTAGTACATGATATTATATTTTTCCATCACACGTAGAACGAATATCCTTGAACAACCCTTTAAGAAAAGTCCTTCCAAGTATATCCGCTCCAGGAAATCAATGGAGAGTCATGATTGATTGCCGAGTAAGATGGAAAAAAAGACATCTCTCATTTTTCCCCCGATTCTCAAGAAAACCGTTTAGACGTACTTGCACATCATGGCAACCATCAGGTCGAACAGACCCATGGCTTCGACGAAAGCGAAACCCAGAATGGCGTATGTGAAGAGCTGACCACGCAGGGCAGGGTTGCGGGAAACACTCAGGAGGAGAGCGGCGAAGACGAGACCGATACCGATACCGGCACCACCGAGACCAATGGCGGCCGAACCCATACCGACGTTCTGGGAGACGGCAACCATAGCCTGGGCGATCTCAGAGGAGTACTGGCGGCGGGACTGGTAGTTGGCGAAGACCTGACGAGCGTTGGCCTGGAGGAGGGTGGACGGTTGCTGACGCTTCATGGTCTGGAGGGGCTGGGGACGGAAGGCAGCGCGAGCGTCGGTGAAGGTACGCTTGGGGACAGCAGCACGCATGGCAGGGCGAGCAGCGACCCGGGTGGTAGGGGCCATGGCGGAAGCCAGGCGAGAAGCGAAGACGCGGGAGGAGGCCATTGTGATGGTTGTTTTTGTGGTTTTTGGAGAGGGGAGGGAGTTGAGGATAGGAAGTGAGAACAATGGGTGGGAGAGGGAAAAAAGAGAGAGAGAGAAAGGAAAACTGGGGAGGAAGAGTTTTTGAGGGCGGACTGCCGGCCCTCGGGTCATCCATAGCCCCTTTGGCCGTGTCAGGCTTAGTGTCGTCACGGGGTGCAAGCCCTATACCGTAATACACACAGTTTTGGTGTTTTAGAGTGCGGTTTACCGTACGGTATAGTACTTATTTCAATACTATACAGTACGGCTGATACCCCCACCAATCGGATACGCTGGTCCGTCACAGCCCGATTCGGCCAGAGGGAAGCTACAAGTACAGTACAGAGTACGCAGTACTTGTACTTGTACTTATATACTTGTAGATACTGGCATTATACTCTACTCCTATATGGTCTATATACTACTATTCTATCTACTTTGTATATAATGCTCATATCTACACAATTCTCATTCTCGTGGTTAACCCCACCGGTGACCGACCGGGAAAGCGCGGAATCTGGCGGTCAATTCGATACCATACGTATAAATACATCTGCCATGGCAACTGCCCGGAGAATCCTCTTTCCCCTGGCCTGATTACTTACAGTACGCTGTATCAAGATCTGCAAATACGTCGTTTTGGCGTTTGAAGTTAACACCTGGTCAATTCATACTACAAATATATATAAGTAATTGTATAGATCAATTGATTACTATAAGTATTCTGGCATTGTATAGAAAGCAATTCTATGTGGTCCAGGAGTACAGTGGTATATGTACTGACACGATGATGGCTATATTTCCCGCGTCACTTACATCCAATTCCTCCGGTTTTCGGTCCGTCCCTACGCCGCTATGCCGTCATCGTCACTAGCTATACAAAGAGCTTCAGTCTCGTCAGATGCGATAGTTGATGCGATAAGGTCAATTGAGCTTCAATTGAAGCATATCAAGTAGAGAAAGCTCTACTCATACGGTGCAATGCTGTATAAACACAGGCGCTCATGCTTGAATTCATTCATCAGCCACGACAGCCACACCATAGCACCAGCCACACCAACCGCACGTGCATTTCCTACAACCGACGCACAGGACAAATAGCTATTCTAGAGGAATTGGTTGCACATACTCAATTGCAATGTACTATGTACAGAGCACTATGTACATTACTGCAATTGAAGTACAGAGTACATGGAGTACTAAAAACTATAAACGCTATCGTATCATCTCCATGAGGACCCGACGCTCCCGGTCTATTTCGATCCGTAGATCCACTGCCCCGAGCCATTGGCGAAGACTGATGTTGAGTTCTGTCCACTCTCCGGATATCCGTTCAATTGTACAGTTTGCGGACAACAGTAGCACTGGATTTCGATTGTTCTTATCCAGTGCTAGGTTTTATGTCGAAACCAGGCATTGGAGGACATACCGGTTCAAGCAAAACCCATCCATGCAGAAAGTGATCATGATGGCAAGTATAGTTATGCCCAACTTCCGAAGGAGGAGAAGTTGCTTTCAAAATAGATCCAAGGTTGTTTTTGACTCTCAAGTCCACTTTTCCACGGGTTCGCCTATGTTGTAGGCAGCATTCACGAGATTCTGAACAAACTGGACGTGGTACCATTTCCGGGAAAGGAGCAAAGTGCCAGGCACTCGTACGACCGTCAGACCCTGAACCAGGCCATCGGTAGTGCTCGTAACACGAGGTTGTCATCGTTGAAAGCTTCAAAACGGCCGTGTAACTGCCAGTCGCTCACAGTGTGTCGAGTACTCGATTACCCGGTTAGCATCGAAACTGCAACGAACCGGTTACACCATTGTGTATTTTGACAGCAGGGATGCTATTAGGACGCAAAGGTCTATACCGTGCGTGTTCAACTTCGTGGCAATTATATAGTCGTATCTCTAGCCATGTTCGACTATTTCCTCTTGTTTCTGTATGTGGGCAATAGCCACACCATGATCTGGTGGAGGAAATCCTTTAGGTTCCCGATATCCCCTCTTCACTTCAATTCCCACGAACGTTGGAACTTGCTCATCAAAGATGTTGCTGTACGATTTTCCACGAAAACGTCGATTGGGTCAATTGCCTGCGTAGACGTGATGATACTGGTCTATGCGGCCAATCATGGTCAGCCCGAACGTTGCGCGGTGGTAAACAGAAAAAATCCAGAATAGTTCGGGAAAACGATCCGCTAGATTAGGTGGCCGAGCTCCCGAGTTTAGAGCCCCCGTCAATATGGGGCCGAATATAGGAATTACAATTCTGTTCCGGCGTATGATATCTTCCCTAGCTCCGGTACCAGTCCACTTCTCTTGAGGATTTGCTGTTTTGTAACTGTACGATCCAGACATCAAACCCACTTCCCGGGGTATTTTGGTCATTCCATAGGTTATACTCTCTCTTGACATTAAAGAGTGATCTTAATAAATCTCGCATGGGTTGTCGAGTTTGGGCATAGCCTCAATCATCGAAGCGCTTCCATAGACGTATTGAAAGTACATAGGACTCCAGGCGGTATGATATGACGACGTTGGCGTGGCTCAAATGGGCTGGAGGAGGGTTGCTATGAGCTAGTACGCCTTGGCTTCCCAGCTGAACCTCCCGTAGAATCTCACTTTCTGCCGACTTGTTTCAGACAATCCGGATTCTTTTATATCAGTATGCACCCCTGGCTTGTGCAGAAAAGAGTATGTTCATCTATCGATTATTTTTGGGGTGCGTTTGATTCATGTCTTGTCGACAAGCATGCTGGCCCGGCAAAGTAGACGATGCACTACCGAAGTCACTGACTTGATTAGTACATGGGAGGTCGGATCGAGTGCGGTCAGAGTGCTACCTTTCGGGTACCAGCTTCTGTTTCAGTTGATATATTACAGGTACTTACATATAGTGCCAAAAAAAAAAAAAATTCCAACGGCCAACAACGATGTCCTCTCATGCATCTTCTAAACGATTTCTTGAGCTCCGCGGTTGAGGTCCAGCTCGCCAATTGCATTTCGCATCTGCACAAATGATCCAATCGTATGGCAAAGCATGTGGGTGCAGAGGAATTTCCATGGTTCGGGCTAAACAACGCCGATCTCTTTATAGTCGAAACGCCAGCAGGATCTGCATCACCACTGTGATGTTTGAAGGTCCTATTCTATAATCACCAAATCAGCATACTCGACTTTTGCGACAAAAGGCTGCTTTGACGGTATGCAAGGTTTTGCTAAGCTCATCGTTGCCCAGCTTCCGAGCAAGAGACCTGTGGACCTTAGCATTGTCCATCAAATACGTCCTGATTTGGCTTGCTGAGAGACTGAAGTGATGTTCCATTGCAATATATCTTTCTGGCATCAAATAGCAACTTTGCACAGAATGACATTAACAGGATCGAGCAGTTGTAGAGTCGCGACCTAAGTCACATCTGCCTCTGAGATGAGGTGGGTATCTTCCAAAACTAGAAGATCCCCCTTGGGAACTCTCCTAGCGTCAATTCGCTCTACATACCGAGCCCCATTGTGCTTGTTGTGAACAAATTCATAAATGCCTCATTCATAGCGCCTTCGCTTGTGCTTGGAATGAGGTGACTCGGTATTCTTGCGCTCTGGTTCTGCTGGAAATCGCGGGCTTAGTCTGTTTGTTGCCAGCACTTCTTCAAGATCGATGCCAGATCTCTGGCCTCCTTTTTCCTGAAGAGCGGTGGCGGTATAATCTGCGCTGTCAAATTTGATGCACTAACAGCCCGGGGTGTCTGGGTAAAAATATCCGACGCTGCAGAGCACGGAATGTGTGACGAGTAATGACATATGCGTTGTTCCCACACATCTTTGATTCATGATCGATTTGTCGGGTCTTTCTGGCCTATAAAGACGGTCCACGGAACAGCGGACGAAGCATCGCTTGTCGGAAAGTTGATGTTTCTGTTACATTTCAAGTATCAGCATTTGTTCTGGTTACGGTATGACATGCACTTACGCGGCTGAGGCTGCTCGCTGAGATTTTCCCTATGTGGACCTTGGAAATATAGGACGCTTGCGGCTCCTTCATTGTACTCTCCACTACTCGATGTGTCCGTTCAGATTGGTCGCCGTTCATGGAAATCCTGTGGTGACCACGCGGCACTCTGGTGTGTATATAGGATAATTGCAACGGCCTTAGTCCTGACCACACCACAGAGAGAACGGTTAGTCTTCGATGGTCGATGAGAGCTCCGAAAATTGCCTCTACCTCCTTACCAAGATGGAAAAGGTGTATGGTAGATGCGCATAAGGTTTGTGTCCCTCTTGCATTCAACGAGAGCCTTGAATCTTCTCAGTGGTGCTCATATGCTGGAACTGTTTGTCAGTCAGGAGTGGTGTTCGTTTTTTTCGGCCACTGTCGTGCTTTATGGCAGCCACTCGCCAATTGCGTGGTAGATATGCGCATATCGTGAGGTGAGTGATTCTGCAACAGAGGCTGCTTCAATGTACCGGCACATCTGAGCTCGTCGTTCATTTTCGCCCAAAGACTTGTCGTGACTGGGCTGCCATTGAAGAAAGAGCAACAACATGCGCGTTTGTAAATTCTGTCACAGCGCTACTAGTTGATATTATACCTCGTCGTTTCTTATATCCCAAACAAGGGTCGAGCGTTTAAACATCAGTGACTCGGTGTATCAGTGGTTGCTTTTGATGACGTGTTGCGTCGATGAGGACTTTAATCCTCCTAAACCCAAGCTCACATCATTCTGGGTTCTCACGGTGTTACAAAAAACCTTGGTAAAATCGTTCATTGTGCCAGATGTCAGTCTGTCAATACGCATCAGCATGTACTATTACCGATTCTCAGTTGACAGGTCCAAGCATACGTTTTAATTTTTGCAGGTCCCTTTGCTTATCAAGTCGAGCTTTTTCGGTTCTAAATCTCGTACGGCCACCTCAATTGGAGGGTTGATTGTCTCTCTCAACAGTTCCGTCACCAACTCTAGGCCCATCCAACAGGCGCAGAAGTGGTGGCAGGAGGATGAGGATAGCGGAATATGTGCTTTGTGATACCCCGGTTGCCATTTTAAAAGCGAACCGTGGGGTACAAATGTCGGTCACGCATGGAGGCATGGAAGCTATTGCTAGCACGGAAGTTAGCAAAGGTTAAACGGGGGCTGACTGGTATGTGATATGTATCCTTACACGATCACAGCTTTGTAGTAGTGGACGGGTCTGCCGTATATTGGATTCCTCGCATTAGCAAGAAAGGCATTGTAGAAAGCTTTCGTCCGATCTATGGCCTTCCGTCTCGTTCGAGGTTAACCCGGGTAGATATCGGGTCAAACGGCCGTGGTCGACGTGATGGAAGTTTTGTGTCTGGATTAAAGAGTGTTCTTGAGGTAAGCCAAAGCACGGTGAGTTGTGGTAAGGGATGAAAAGTCGTATTCTCACCCCTGGGTTGCGTCTCGCGCTCTATAATATCAAAACATAATGTTCCCATCTTCGCTGCTCGCTAGGTTTGGCTGTAACCAATCCCATCCCTCCCCGAGGTATACCCACAGCCGATGGAAGCGGCCCCAATATGATGGGACTTGGCCTTGAGCTCAAAGAACCGGTATCGCCGAATGCATAGCCACTCTGGCTGACGTTTATTTTGACTGGACGGCATAATATATGCTTCTGTAAAGTCCACCATGGCCAGTCGCAGCTGTGTTCCGTGCATGGTGATGATGATGGCCTTTTCTTGTTATTTGTTCCGTTCACAATCGTCTGTTCTGAGCTGGTAAAGCTCGAACAGAAGGCTTGAGGTTCATGAGTGTTGCTTTGTCTTTTCTGCGATCAACCTCTTCTGGCGAATTATGTTAATAGTTCCTTATGCAACATGTAGCCTGGCATCTTGCGAGGGAACAACCTCTTTCGATGGAGCTGGGTACTGTCACTGCATATGTGATTGCTGGTTCGTAGGTGACTGTTACAATTGCCCCTGTGATATATTTCAGCTCCAAAGTCGCCGTCTGCCACAACGTATGTCCTCGAGGAGAGCGAAAGACTTCAACTCCAGGCTGCCTTCTGCCGGTTCCTAGCTTCCTTCGTGAGATCTTGCTAATCGGGAGCACCGAAAGCCGCATGCATTTACGGGCTCTGTAGGGGAAACGTGACGGGGAACGAACGAAGCAGAAATCCAATAACAAGGGCTGTGCGGAACATGGAACATGAACAGAGAAGATCACAACTCCGGCCCGCTTAACCTCCTCTCATCATCAGAGAGGTTGGGGGGGGCGGGGGGCGTTGTTACGGCCCTTCACAGAGTGTTTGCGCGAAATCGGAGAGAGAAGGCCAGGTGTATGCGACTTGCGTTGGGCTTTGGCTGCCTCTGCTTCTGTCTTCCTCCGTTGTACTTCCTCACGTAGTTGTCGATCTAAATATGCAACGATAGCAATGTAAAATACCCTTGACGACCATGTCATCACGGTCAAAATGTTGCATGAGACCTTGTCAGGTATAAGAACATGCTTTGCCTGCTAGAAGCATAAGTATCAATCCATTCAGCGATGCGTGTATAACATACTAATATCCGCGCGTGTCTTGCCGTGTGATTTCAAGTTTATGCCTGGTAATCGGTAGTTGAAAGGCCCAACCATCTCTGTCGACAGCACGGTTAATAACTATAGCACATACCATGTCTGCTTCATTTGTCAGGATATAGGTTCTTTCCACGGCTGGTATGAATTTACCCACGTTGGCGAATGAGAAGGATAACCAAAGTATAATATGAGAGACACTCTCGACTCCAAGAAGGAAAACGGCGACAAAAGATGGGGAATATGTGGCAAACTTGGGTCAGGCCACCCCGGAACGCCCTCGGAGAGATGCATTCGTTCTCTAATGCGATTTCTTGTAACAGCATCTTTGTCGTAGTACTTCGTATGTCTGCTTGGTCGAAAAGGAACTTCGTTGCTTTAGCGGCAACTTAAAAACTCACCAAGAAGCCCTTCTGGTCATAGGGGGTTTCAACCATCCGTGCCATGTAGTAAAGGCATTCTGGCATGCTCACCCTGATTTGTGTCCCCTTAGTCACAGGTATGACTGGGAATATCAGGAAACTGTATAGAGGACCTTTTATAAAGAGTTCGTCGTATGTACACGCGAATCCGAGCATGTAAACATACTCATGCATGTATTTTGCGGCATGTCCTAACATATCAATTAGCATGAGAATAAATTATTAGATTCCGGGGGTTATCTCACCGAGCACTTTGCAGTATGCTTCCGAGTTCATGTTTCCAAGAAAGTATTCCATGAAGGTTTGAACTCGCCAAACACTGACATTTCCGTCCAGGTCTTCCTAACCCGATGAGGGATGGATTCGATAATCAAATTCGTCGGTACTACGCTTGCGACTATCATCCGTTCTCAATAGTGCAGACATGTCTTTTCCTATCAAGGGCACTTATGTCTGAATACCTGACACAAGACACAAGATTGCTGTATGCATTACCGAATGTGCGCATGTCAAAAACACTTGTGAACCTCACACCACTTCTTTTTGCCTCTCATATCTCTAATCTCCATCCGTAGGGTTGCTATGGGGAGACTATGGGAAGATATAGGCCGTAAATGGAAAGCCGTTTCGTATCAGAAAGGATGGTCAACCAGTTTGTCAATGCGAGAACAGTGAGTCCTTCGAGAAGGTCTTCAACTGGCTGTATCGGTGCATCAACTGTGGCTTGCATTGTGTAGGGAGGTTGATAGGCATTTGAAGGGAATTGTTCGATGTTGAGAAGGCGGCCCAAGAAGGACTATGCGAGGAGTGTAAAGATGCCACTCACCCCATTTCGAGCCGGACACGAGCAGCTCCTCATGGATTCTCGTATGGTGCGTGACGCTTTCAGCGATTTCATACCTTACGGCAACCCGAGATCCGGTTTTAATGGCGCCTGTTAAGATTGAGAATTGCTGAAGCAGTTATGTGGGCGTGATTTCACATGAAAGATGAGATCACAGGAAAGCAATCCCCTAATCGTGGGGTTGTGCTCTGAAAAAAGGTACAATCAGCACATGGATTCACTAACGAGATGGTGACAATGGACCAACACACCAGAACACGAGGTGAGCGCGCACTTGCGCTGATTAGAATGGCGGCGAAGATAGAAGTAGGAGTATTGCATACATCTAATACTCTTGTCGCGTACATTGCAGACAATAGTGGACACAAGCTAGCGCCATAAGTGCTCGATTCAAAGCACGGAGCAAGAGTCCCAAGTTCTGTGCTCTTATCACCATAAGCCCAACCAATGGCATAATGTTCTTATGAACCATCTGGGCCGAGGAAAGATGGAGTAGGCGGCGACACAGTCACAGCTACGGCGAGCTGGCGACCAACACAGAATCCAATGCCGGAGCAGTCGCACGGTCGAAAGCTGGAGTTGGTGTCAGATGTAGCTCGTGGCTGGTTGAGGAAAAAATCCACGGTCTTCCAGCCTCAAGATCCGTGCTGGGTGCCACCGCGGCTAGTATATATGGATAATTTCGCCAAGAAACAGCCCCGTCCGTATACAGGAGTTTGCTCCTGGTCTTAAAGCGAGCCTGTCACCGACGTTTATCAATGCGTCCTATAGATCAATGTTATATTGTTGGTCTAGTTCTGGAATGACGAATTTGGTACGAAAAGCATACTTCGAAACATGTTGCTTTGTATTGTAACAATGCGAGAGATAGTATTCATCGCGGTCGTAAAAGGTTGTATCGGTCATCTGCATCTCTCATGCGTAGGAAAAGTCAACGATGCCAAAATTCCTCCCTTTTGCCGTTAAGGAGATCAGAAGGATGGTAGGCATGACACGCAAGATTTGTTCCAAAAAGATACGACGCAGACGTGGAAGGCAAGGAATAGTTCAAATCGACATAGGTGTCGTGGTATAATTTCGTGCGAATAGTAAATGTTTACCAGTATAGCGAAGCGTGGTATAGGATGACCGTATATAGAAATGCAACCGAAAGGAACCTTCTGATAGCAGGAAGGGTTCTTCGTTTGGAATTATAGCATATAAACAGTGAATAGATGATGGAGAAGACACCCAGTAGTGAATGTGATGTATAGTGGGATTGCAACAGGGATATAGTAGTGTAGTATATAGAGCGCATCGTGATGGAATTAGAAGAAGTTCCCTGCCTTTATTTCATGAGAAATTCCAGCAGGTTCTACAAACGCACAACAAACGACCATCCCCATTCATCAAAAAGAAAACGACAACCTCCTCCACAACTCCCTCCTCAATGCCACCGCCATATCCCTCGTCCTCTGCACAGCACCCTTGTTCTCAACCGCCCTCCTCAACAAATAATGCAAACACTCCTCCGTCGTCCCCCACGCCAAATACTTAAACACCCCGGGAACATCATCTCGGGAGTCCATCCGATTCTGCTGCACAAGCCCGCAGCCAATCTCATCCGCCATTCCCTGCAGCTGGCCGAATTCGACTGGGATTGTGGGGACTCCGGATTTTATTAGCTGTCGGTGTAGGGTGTATGCTGTGCGGACTGTTTCGGAGTTGTGTGAGGCGATGAAGAGGCGGACGTCGGGGAATTCGGTTTCTTTTTGGCTTGTTGGGAGGGGGTATTTGCGTTGCAGGAGGTTTTCGACGATGGAGTTGTAGTTTGCGTCTGTTTCGGGTTTGGTGTCGTGGATGCGATCTCGGCGGTCGTGTGCGATGTATGCTCCGCGGACTAACTTGATGCCCAATTTCCATCCTTTCTGTTGAGACAGAAGTAGATGACGCTGTACATTAGCCGCAGAATCTTTTAGGTACGCTTGTATGGTATTGAAAACCACGGGACTAGCACCGCGGTTAAACTCGCGCATGAGCTCGATCGTCCACGCATCAATAGCTGGCTGGAAGACCTGCTGCTCTGCATCAATCCAAAGTCGAGAGTTCTGAGCTGCAGCCGCCTCGCAGATTTCCTGCATGGCCAGGTATATGCTTTGCGGCATTGCGTCTCCACCAGCCAGCGCATTGAGGGCGATTGGACCAGCGCCGGTGAATCTTTCACCAGGTTAGCAGCGATCAACACTCAATACAGCGATCTGAGACATACTTAACAGCAAGATAATCCCCTGCACCGATCATACCAAGAGTCCTTATATTTCCCCGCTTCCATTCCTCAACAGACCGGAGAGACGCCTTTTCCTGGCTTGTCGACGCAGTTGTACTTTCATTTTCCTTGACGACCGTCTCCTTGGCATATCCCATTATAACACCCTTGAACCCTAATGTCTTGATACCGTGTACTGTCTGCCGTACTCTGTGTTCGTTCTCGCCCGCGCAGAAATGGTTGTATATGGTTGTGCGGAGGAGGTAGTTCATCAGTGGATTCTGCGACGGATTCAACAACGGAGAAGTGGAGTTAACCACGCGCGTCAACATAGACAGACAAGGGTTTAGAAGCGGCGACGACATGATCGAGGTGAAGAGCAGGGATCGAAGAAGTGGTCCTGTTGGCATCATGGCGAGGGGTGGTTGGGATTGGACATGGGGCTTGTGCCCCTGCGCTGGGGGCTGATATGGAAGTGTCTGAGTATGAATGCCGATGATTCCATGTCGATATCTCGTGTTAACACTGGGAAGTTTCACTCTTGGATAAGACAACTTCATTGCTTGTTTTGCTTTTTCCTGTGTGATTGACGGGATGCAGTGCAGGGTGTTCCGTCGGCAGTTCTATATCTATGTTTAAATATCGACTAATGCACCTGCATCCCTATCTGAACCCATGTCAAGTTGCATTCAAATGCGGGGAACCCTATCGATCTCGTGGATTGTTCGTGATACTGCAAGTACATTTCGGATGGCGTCCCGTTCGTCGGGTCAAGGTTCCGTGGTTGTATTGTATATGTGTATTCCTGTGAATGGTTGGTCGAGTGTACCTACCATTTTGGTGTGCGACTTCTTATGGTTCGTTTTTTGTTTCAGTGACTTTGGGTTTCTGGTGCTGTCATAGGGGGGCTGTATGTACCGTGCCTGTGTGGATATATATATCTCACAGATGCTGATTAGGGCTCGGCGCTACCACGGATATACACGATCAGCAACGCAGAAAACCAAAAATACTACCAATTCTTGAAAACATATCACCACAGACAACGTCTAAGATGTCGATCGATAGCTACAAGGCGTGCAAGAGATCTCAACTCATGCATCCAAATGTTCGGAACGGAACCCGATCGGGAATCTGAACCCGTGGTTCAACTCAATTGAACCCCCCCCCCCCCCCCCCCAACAATGCATTGTCTATCTACTATGTATGACACCATAGCCACGGAACTATGATATATGATAAAATTGTCGACAAAAACATATAAGAAAGACGAAAAAAATACAAATGCAAAAAAATAATAATAAAAAGCAAAAAAGAAACGGCCCGAGCCGCGGATCGAACGCGGGACCTCTCGCAGATATGCTTGGGTTATTTCCCTAAGCGAGAATCATACCACTAGACCACCCGGGCTGTTGTATAATATCCCTGCCATTCTATGTCACATAACCCATTACCAACATTATACAGTACACAAGACGGGGCAATTAAACAACGGTCAATTCTGGAACTCCTACCGACCACCCCTGTAATCTATCTGACTCTCATGCTAACCGGTACGATTATTCCCACCACGAATTCGGAAACATCGGTCCTTCGTGGGGCGATGGCTTAGGGGTCTCGGCCTCAGCAGTGGAAGACATGCCCGTCGCTTCCGCAGTGCGCGACACGGTCTTCATAGTCGTCGGAGTCGCGCTGCTGGTAGCCTGTCCAACGGCCGAAGTAGTTCCCGAAGCAGTACCCGTCGCCTGAGCGGTGTTGCTACTTCCCAGACTCATACAAGCGAAACTCATCTTCTTGGTGGTGCTCGAGCCCGTTCCCAAATAAGTATCCACAGGCGAAGACAAATCCCACTCCATGCTCACATACGGCCAGCAGATCCGGCCATCGTTCATAGTCACCATGTCGCCTGCGACATACACATCGGTAGCTTTAAGTGCTTCGCCAACCTTCTCACCATCCGAATTGACCTGCTGGAAAAATGACCCAGCGAATTGTCCCCGGCAGCCCATGGCGATGTAGTCGCAGATCGGATCCGAGATCTCCTCCCAGGTGACGAGCGCGTTGTTGGGTTCGAATGTTGCAGCATGTGCGTTGGAGCGGTCGTTTCCGTTACCCTCGGTGATCCAGTTTACCTGGCTATCCCCGTCTTCGGCTCCGACTTCCGAGCTTGCCTGCGGGCCGATCTTGGTGTACTTGTCCGAGAAGAGCGAGATGGCGACGTTGCGGTTGTTAGTCCGGTTCAGGGAATGCGTGTATCCATCGCCCATCCAGGTGTTTTCGCTTAGATCGATAGCGCCACGCGAGACCCAGGAGAAAATGTATCGGGATGAATCCGCGAATCGGGCGAGGGCACTGTAGCTACCGGACATGCCGCCCATGGGCTCACCAGACGCGCCATTGGTCGTGTTCTCGTTGGAGATCTTGACACCTGTGTTGTCCATACCCTGCGTTTTGGTGTTGAGCCAGATAGCACCCTGATCTTCGGCGCAGATACTCGCGAAGGGGGCTTTGTCTGCGGCTTCGAAAGCGATACCCGTGTTATGGCTGCATCCCCACACGCTACTGGCACCGGGGATGTCCAGCAGTGTGCCATTGTTGGCGACATACTCGATGCTGTCGCCGTAGTGACCCGAAGCGTCTCCGGAGTAATCAGTGACGACGAAGTAGGCGCCGTAATAGCCAGCTTCTTCGGAATAAGCCAGGTCGCCGTTCATGTCGGGCGATGCTGCCACTCCTTCAGACTCGTGGACGCCCGGACCACCCAGCCAGGTCTTCCAGGACTGCTTGCCGTCGGTGTAGCGGTACAGCACGGGGACTGGAGTTCCACTAGCCGGTGCATTGGATGTTCCCGTGGGCATTTCCTCGTTGACTAGCAGCGCGAAACCGTCATTGTGGGCGATGAGACCGCCGGCTTTTATTATATTAGCATATATTCACCATCAGATGGGATGGTGCACTTACCCTCTTTACCACCACTAACAGTAACAGACGTCCCAGTCACCTCAAAGGTGGCAGGATCCAGCTGCTGCACATGAACATCGGTTTCACTACTATCAAGATAGGCGAGATAAGCCGAATTTCCATCCGGAGAGACGGCAAACGGAGTACGACGGTGATGAGGATAATTCGTCCAGTATGCCGCTTTAACCGGATTAAACGAGTTCTCTAGAGTGAGAACATCGACATGTTTCTTAAGATTAGAGTCCGTCAAGGACGCAGCACTCCGCACAACAGAGAGAAGCAAAAGTGCGAATGGAAGTAACATGGTCGGGATTGAAGGAAAGAACTTTGGTATAGCAAGTACAAGGAAAGGATCGACTGAATGGTTGGACTCGATAATTTATACCAAGTTCCGAGCCAGTACCGAGCCAAAGGAGTATTGTATAAGTGGATAGTGCGTTTCACATAACTAGGCACTATACCCGGATTAATCGCGTTTCAGGTATATTTGCCGTGCATAACCGGCGCTAGATCACTTTATTAGCTAGGGCTAGAGGGACTAGGCCAAAACACTATGACACTTGGGTCGCTAGTAATGTAGACCCCTTTAATTCGACTGTACCAGTGGTTGGGGCCGTTATGTTGCATGGCAGTAGTGTTGACAGGCCCTGAGTATGGGATTGTTTTACCTTCCCCACAATAGCCAAGATTCTGGAATCTGGACATGACTATTTCGCGGATCTTCCCGATTCAACAGTGCAGTGGTAATGACTAGCGGACGGTTGAATGGTCGATGTTGAGGTGAGGGAAGATCTTGCTTTGGAAAGAGCAGAGTGAAATCGATTCAGACGTATGCGTGCATGCTCATGTTAAACACTGCGCCCATAAATTACCCCCCTCCCCCCCATCAGGCCCAGGATCTTTGTTAGAAGTTCGAGCTTGGGATCAGCTTTTGAACATTATCGTGCTTGGAAGGCAGCCTGTGGCAGGATGGCCGAGTAGTCTACGCAGAGTATCCCATAGTGGTAATGGCCGTATTAATGTTGTACGGTAGACATTATGGTTGATCCCGTAGGCTGAAGCGGTTCGAACCCCCCCCATCTTGCCATGGTCTGCTTTTTTTTAAATATTTTTTCTCTCATTTTTTTTTGCCTCTTTGCTCCCCAGAGTGCTCGACAACTCATAAATCAGGTTTTAGTTATTTTGAGGTAAATTCTTTACATAGCTGAACTGATATTTATCTTCACAAGCCAAATATATGAAGTTGCGGTTAAGTTGGGGATACTAACTATGATCGTCACGGATTGTTTTCCAACATGGAGCGTTTTTGGGGTACCATCCTTTATTCTTGACAGACATCAAAACCTAGGGTAAGAAAGACTTCACGTTTCCCTGTATTATCATTGGGGAATATTGTCAATGAAGCCTCCGCCTCGCGCTCGCGACATGGGCAGACCTTACACTAGCGACTTGTGCCGCTTATAATATTTCTGTGGTCATTGAAAGAACAGTTCCCAACGGCAGCATAGTGGCATGCATTCAAGTTGTTTCCTACTGCCAGATTGCAGAGCCCCATGGAGTAGCCTCGTGCCACGGGGTAAAATGCGCCTTTTGCCCATTGTCGCCTTGACCTTGATCAACAAGGATGTGCAAAAGATATACCATGACTGGCTTGGACTTAGTGTGCCTTGTGTTTGGCGTTCATGTATTGACCCTCGGCATCCAATTATTCTGGCCAGACATTGGCCAAAGTCGGTTTGTTTTTGGCAAGTGGTGAGAGTTGCATGTTTAAAATTCAGGAAGGTATATTGAATGTTGACATCGATTGCCAAGCGAGCGGCTCTCCTCCCGAATCTCTACGCCTCTCCACCCAGCTAGGCAATTCCACAAAAAGCCTTCTCTGCGAGGATGGGTCGGTCACATATCAAAAGAATCAGATGATCAAGAGGGTCGAATCCTATAAAAGCGACTGTAGATAACTATAACGTAATCGACCACTGAATGGTTCCGACCACCGAGCGGTCCTGAATTCTACGGAATTCCAGTTTAATCATGGAATGTGAATCTAAAGAAGTCAGAATTCAATTGGCATTAAATGCCTTCAAAAAGTGTTGACGTCTTGAGTATGACTGACGATGCCCGGAAGTATCATCTAGTTAGCATATATGATGAATGGTGATAGGATTGGGGGATACGGCTATGCAGCCAGCATCCTGGTAGTATGGCCAGCGCGTACACTGATTATGCACTTCGCATTTGACTTGCCATGTTGATTCTCTTTTGCAACGATTTCCTCTGTTAGTTAATGGCCGCCGAGATTGTCTACCTCTCAGGTGCCCAAAACGGGGGTATTAGCCATGTCAACGCTGGCGGCATCCTTCCTCTTCTTCTTCCCTCATGTTGATTATTCTCGTCGAGAGGCTAGGTCCTGATCTTATCCCGCGTAATGCTAGGAACGATCCTTTTAGTGGACCTGTCATTAATCCCCAGACTTCCCTTTCACCTTTTCCAGGATTTTAGCCATACCAATATCGTCAGGCGCAGCCAAACCACCCGATTTAGCCTGCATCTCGGTCGCAATTGCACCAGGATTGATGTTGAAGACACGCAAAGAAGGGTTCTCGTATTGTACATATTCGACAATCTTGGCCAGGCTGAGCTTCGATGCAGAGTATGACGAATATCCGGGAATGTAGGGAAGGTGACCGGCCCCTGAGCTAATGTTTATGAGAGTGGCGCCAGTGTTGGGCTTTGACTTCAGAAACTCTTAATAGTCTTCCAGATCAGAATCGACCACCGAACGATGCGAGTCCAAGTATCCTGCATTTTGGACAAGTACATCGATTCGTCCGTAAACCGAAATGGCTTGCTGTACCGCCACAGATACAGCATGAGTGTCGGAAATATCTGCAATAGTGAATCGGATTGTTGTGGTGGATCTCGAATCCTCGCGCGCAGCCTTGATAGCAATTTTTGCCGTCTGAAACAGGTCATTCTCGTTTCTTCCGATCAAGAAAATCCCATCAGCCTTGGCAATGGCAAATGATTTAGCGACTGCACGACCAATGCCTCGACCACCTCCAGTGATGAATACGATTTTGCCTTTAGCGCTCAAAGCTGGGTCATTTTCCGAAATCGCGGGATAAGTGGTATGGTGCCATGTCGGCACGAAGTGATGCTGGTGGGTTGACATATTCATCCAAGAGAAGCAATGATGGAAATAAAAGTAGTCTGCGACGCAGCCCAATAACGCCAATTGAACAGCTCCGGTGCGCTGATACAGCTTTATATATGGTGCCTAACTTGAGAATGACGCTCTTCCACGGGTGGTGACTTCCGCTGGTGGTGACTTCCGCTAAGGTTGCGGAACATCGACCAACGGACGACCCCTGTTTTAAGTTGCAATTGGTCCTCCCCCAGCCCACACCGATCTAGGCCTGACAATGTGAAAATGTTAGCGGAAGAAGATGTGTGGAACATGACTTGGGACGACTGACCATGGGCCGATGACCTAATCGTGCCCTTATAACTACGGCTAGACTTCCGCAGCTGATTTCTTTCGCATTGCAGATCGCATCATCGACTCAAACCATATATAGAAAAGAATCCCAGCTTCATTGCCAGTATTTCTGCCTCTATAGTTTATAATTTCTACATTATCATCAGACTCTCTTGCGACTGCGAAACATGGCATCCAACCAGTCCTCACCTCTGGGTGCTTGGGTAGATGAATTATTGACTACCGTTTTTTTCCAATCAAATAATGAATCGTCCTCAAAAGCGATGCACGAAAGCTTCAGCCCTGATCTGAGAGTTCGGTAATGCTTTTCTTTCTATTCTCATCTCTCCATGTCTAACATCTAAGACAGCATTAACGGTGTCCCTATGGGGCTTGACGAATACAAATCGGCAATTGTTGCGACACGCGCCCAGTATCATCTCTCTGTTGAATATAATCGAGAATTGCTTTCTAGTCGCGAGGATCCCGATGTCAATGCCGGTGAAGGGTCTGTGGCGCACATTTCAAGCTTCATCTTGAAAGACAAACAGGGGGGCCATGAACGTCAAGAGGCGACTGTGACTCTAGCGACAGTAAAGACCGTGGATGGTAAAAGGGTGCTATCAGAATTGACGGAAGTTCATCGTTCCGCTTGATTCAGACCCGTTGGACTCGCCATACTGCGGTCGCCAAACAAAGCAGTGATGGTGCGCTGGAGAATGGATGGTATACAAAGGCGTCTTGTTCTATAGTTGATAGTAAATCAGGGATGAAGTCATGATCTTGTTTTCTCCCCCAAAGTGTGCATAACAACCTGACTATCAATACTGCTCGGCCTGACCACCTTCAAATTTGTTTCATTTGGCATGCTGTAGTTCATTATTGTGTAAATGACTGCGGCACACGTCGCTTGTTAACTGATGTATCTTTTAGCCATCGAAACCGGTACAGTCGACGCTGGTGCAATTCTATGACTCCCTCTGCCGGCAGAAACTACATTTAGTACAATAACCACTATTCCACCCAACATCGACCAAAGCTCCGCTTGTATAAAGGCCTATTTCTGCTCGGGTTTCCAACGGATTTTTTTCGACTGCATATACTGCAGATTATTGTTGTGAACTTACTCGCTCTGTAGATGTCCGGAAGGTCAGAAGTCATTGTGGCCGAGACTTGGATCTGATAGCAAAGCGAATGGATATGTTAGTTACCAATCAGACTTACATAACTATCTGTTGAAGGTTCTATTCTCTATATGTGTCATGGAGATTGTTCTCAGACCCAGTTTGACCCTCAGCTGGTTACTAAAGCAATCGGCCGCATTTACCAAACTGCACCTTGACATCTAAAAAAAATTTTTTTGTCAGGAATGCAGATCGTCTCTAGGGTAGCCATCCAAGCAGTAGAATATGCTGTTCCCAATGCCAACTAATCTCGAATAAAATATAAGAGGTAACGCTGCAATAAACACCAATTTACGGCGGATCTTCTGTTTGCGATGAGCCGATTTCTCCAGATGTCAATGAGAAAGTCCCTTGAGCCATTAAGCAACACGGCAGATGTTTTCTCTGATAGATCCCTGTGGGGTGAGTTCGATAGAATATCGGTTTGAGGGTGGTGCTTACCCCATCCCAAGTACGAAGTCACCCTGGCCATTTACGTCTTCAACACGAATGTTGCAATCTCTATGAATTACTGGTCTCCCGCATGGTCACAGGCGCAAATGGGAGCTGCGTGTCATCTTGTATCTGAGATGATCGTCTATGGTGAGTCCGCAACCTCCGACTTCCCCAAGATCTCGGACCTGCTGCCCAAAGAGCCTTCGACGTATGGCAACGATTGCTTTCCGGCTATTGCTAATAACCGCGCGGCGCAGACCGTTGGCGCAGCCACCAGGAACAGCCCCCAGGTCTGCTTTTTCTCCTTTGGAGGCGATACCTTCCTCGCCGTTGTCCTCAGGCGCGATAGTGCCGCCGTGGACGCCTCCCTGGCCCCGGAGGACCTGCTCCCCGGAAAGAAAGGCTTCCGGGAAATCGTCACAACTATGCCATCTCGCATGCCACTAACAGATACGTCTCCGAGCCCGACACACCCCAATGATCACACGATCTGCACCGGTATGGGAAGCGAGAGGGCGAGCTGGTAGCCTTGCACATGGCGGCGATTTACCCACTGACAGCGTTACTGACAGCGTTACCGACAACAATAATCATCAGTCAGGCCCCAATCGATGGTGTATGAGTGTGAGCGATCGAGGCGGATTGTGGAAAATGACGAGCATCAAAAATAGAAAACATTCTTTTACTGTTGGAGACCGAATAGACTGAGAAATCGACCTCCAACCCAGTGACAGCAATGATCAACCCCTTTTATCAGGGCCATCATTACCATCCCGAGATCCTCGATATCTTCTGGGTTGGCACACGCAATATCTGCATCCCACGTTGAGAATCGGATCGGGAGTGCATGGGTGTTTTTGAGAGCCAATTCCCATTGGAAGCTTGAAGATGAGAGCCAAAGCGCCTTTTGCCCGAAAAACGATAAATTCTCAAATTCATGATGTGAGTCATCCCATCCATTCTTGAGAAAACAATACAACCCTTGCAACGTATATCCCATGATAATAGTTCGCCGCAAGCTTTCGGCATATAGCCAGCTGTCATATGGATCGGCACCAGACATTTGAGATGAGGTCACTGTATTTTGCCAATCATCATCAATATCCAGCATATGTTGTTGGAGACGCCGAACGCTATCGACAAAAACCGGCTGAGTTTGTTCGGCATCAGCGCGCTGGCGAATGTCCCCGTCAAAAAGGCGGATGATTTGAACAAGTGTCAAAGCCTGAACCGAAGCTAGAAGGTCCAGAGTAGAAGAGCCAAGCCGGTCAAGTTCTTCCACTAAGCGACTAGCATGCTGGCTAATAATACGAAAGATCAAAAGCTGGGTTGCATAGGACTTTCTGTCATACAATGCGCAAACTGCCATGGTGTCTCCAAGTGTCTGGGGCGTGTACTTGTCGTAGAGACTCTGGTGGATAAAAGCCGTTCGCCCAGTTGAAACAAAGGAAGCAGGAAATGATCTCAACCGTTGAACAGCGTATACAATTCGTTGCTGGTATATTTCGCCCGATAGCACACTCCTGCTTGGTGCATCGTTTATCGTTAAGTAGTCAGGGACAGAAAAGCTTTCCAAGTTTGCCATCGCATCTTGCCAGTCGAGGTGGTAATCAGGGAAAGATGGGAGTAAGTCGTCTGCCAACGGATCCAGAGAATTACCGACACGATCTTCAGAAGCGTCGTAGCTAAGAAGGGAATGGGAAGGCAGATTGATAGAATCAACAGAAGAGGTCTGTATTCCCTGGCGGATGGAATCACGATCCGTGTGCGGAATGTGTTTGGAGGGTAGAGTCTGATAGCAACATTCGAGCGACCGAACTTTACAGCGATAACATTGGGGAATGGCCATGTCACAACGCCTCTTTGATCTGATGCAGTGGACACAAGCTCGACGATATGGAGGCGGCATGGCGAGAAGATATCTGTAGAGGGAGAAATAGCGGAAAAGATTTTAAGACAGGCAATCACCACTCGGCTTGGGTGGTGGCAGCCACAGGGAAGAACGGTGCTCGACAGCGGTCAACTGTGCAGTAGAGGGTCATCAGAGAACTGCTTCAATCTTTCACTACTCTGTATGAGTTGTAAGAAAGAGTAAGGAAATTGAATTACAGATATTTCTGTATGGTATTTTAAACTATTTTAAATTCTCATGCGAGTTAAAATGGCTTATCAATGGTCTTGGCAGTCACGTGTGGCGGGTAGAACTCACATGAGTTCATTGAAAAGTTCGCGTGAGCTGTATCCGCTGTATGCACCTATGCTATTTAGGAAAAAGCCTCTGCTGTCAAGTACAAAACAAGTGAAGGGGATCTACCAGGAACGGAACCGCCTTTTCTCCGCGCGCGTGTGCCGTTTCCGGTGAACGAGCTTTGCAAACTGTGGTTGATGGCTGACATGAGGTTTGTTCTGTTACCGTACTTTGTTAGACGTTTGTCATTTGGGTTTGGGTTCGTGGATCGGGTTCGTTTGGGTCTTGGTGATAGAAGCAGGGTGCTAGTGGTCTTGGTTGTCGAAGTGGCGGGGAGAGTGAGTGATTCACTGGCTGAGTCTTGAGTGTTGGGGGGTAGGGAAGGCAGCAATCAACCCCCTCGATTTTATTCTGTTTCAGGCTTTATTTTTAGAGGGAGTGAAGCGTTTGCTCTGGACGGAGAGGAAGGGAGGGAAAAAAAAAAAAAAAAAAAAAAAAAAAAAAAAAAAAAAAAGGTAAGCTATGCAGGTACTGGGCATGGAGTAAAATAGCTCCCCTGTATTTCGTTATTTTATTTCATTCTCGTATAGTCTCGGATTTAGTATGTAGTGGTCTCTGCTGTACGTATATGATGGGATCGTATCATTGTAGTAGTGGTAGAAAAGAATAAACAAACCGAATAAAACAATACACGCGGATAGAATGAAAGCAAACGATGAAACAAAAATTAGTAGACGTAGATGGGATATCTAAAATAATAAGAGCATGCCAGGAAAAAAAAAAAAAAAGAGAAAACAGAGGAAAGACAAGAGATAAAAAAGGGAACACGCCGAAACAGAAACAGGGGCAGAGACAAAAGAACCCCAACACGTCTGCGCCTTAGACCATAAACAAGAAATGTATGGTTTGTTCGTGATAGTCGTGACAGATGGGCGAGGAAGCAGATGTTCGAACAAACTTTTCATTCGAGAAGAAAATTAAAATATGATTGCCAGCAAATCGAGAAAGATAACCTATGCCTCCAAGTAGAGAAACGACGCAAAGACATGACGGGTATAGTCATCACCACCTAGAAATTGACGAATTGATCAAAGTCAAAGGACTCCATGGCTTGTATCGTCCCGGGGATGCATGGGGTATTTCCTTGATCAAACGGCGCTCGCTGGAAGGGCGGCATAAAAGTGTTGTTGTATTGGACGCCTTGGCTAGCCATGTCGTTGCCAAGAAGGTCCAAGCTAAGTTCGATACCGAGGTCGTACATGAACCGGAAAGGGTTCTGCCCATGTAATGCTTCGACGGAAGTCGGGGAAGATTCGTCGAGGGCCGAGCTCATATCGCTGTAGGCGGGAGTTGGAGTGTCTTCCGCTTGCTCTTCGACGGAGCGTTTGATCGCGTCACTTGCGTCGTCAACCTTGTCAACGAAAGTATTGGTACCGGAGATTTGGATGTTGCTCTTCTCATTGACAGCCTGACACGGCTGAGCAACGAAAGACATCACGGCCTCGTTGTTGCAACTCGTCCGCTTCTGTCGATCTTTCTGGGAGACATAGCCAGTGTCATAACAGTGTTTGACGATGTCGTTGACAGAATAGTTGGTAGAGACATCCGCTTCATTTGTAGTCGTTTGGCTAACTCTGGCCATGGTGTATTGCTGTTCTTCATCAACAGTCAATTCCCAACCCATTGCCTCAAGGTAGAGGCTTGGCTGAAGGATACCGATGTATCCAGCATTGAGATTCAAAAAGCTCTCCAAAGAGACGTCTTTCGAATCAGCGTGCTCGTCACGGATTTTAGAGTAAGCTTTGGCAAGGATAGCCCATTTGGCCTTGAAACGGTCGTTCTGCCACAGGAAGCGAAGGATTCCAGACTTGGCTTTTTGAGTAAGGTCGGGAAACATGGTCGAGTAGAAGCCTGACTAGTGTTAGTTGCTTATCATCAGCTGGTTGATGGGGTATTTTGGACTTACTTCGAAAAGCAATGAAACTGTTGAGAGGACGCAGCGGCTTATCGCGGTTACGTCTACGGGCAGTCGAAGACTTGGAAGCGTTGTTTGTGGAAGCAACAGAGCCACGACGGGCACTCAAAGCTGTGCCCTCAGAAGCCGTATCGTCGGGCGTAGGGTATTTGATTGGCGTCTGGTTGCCACGTCCGACATGGCTTTTGGGCTGGTGGTTCTCACGGGCATGCAGATACTCAACCAGCTCTTCCAACTGGTGAGATGGCATCGACAGTAAAAAGGAGTTGAAGGCCCGCTGAAGCGGGCTGAGCTCGCTGGAGGACATTAGAGACAGTAGAGCGGACATAATGCCCTTAGTTTGGCGTGTATTTGGAGCGGGCTTAAGGAGATAAAACGAAGATGAGAAAGCGTAGGCGAAAAGTTGCTTCTCTCTAGGCTCTCGAGAAGTTGTTGAAGGGGAAAGTTAAAAAAAAAAAATTAGAAATTGGGAGAGAAAGGATGGAAAAAGAAGGAAGAAGGAGGGAATTGCTTTTCTTTTTCTCTCTTCAGTGTCTTAAAAGAATGAAACACAGCACATATCGACCCGCCTAATTCCTACCCCGTCACCCATCGATCACAACCATGAGAAACAAAAAAGAGAAAGAAAAAGAAAAAACGACCAACGATGCCCTAGACAGAATAAAACCATGAATCATCGAGATAATGAAAACATGTTCTGTTCATAATAGTCATGACAGATAGGCAAAGAACTTTGCTGGAGTCGGACATCTATCCTGAGCAAATTGTCGGATATCAAGATAGGCCGATACAGAGAATAGACTCCATCGATTCTGCCGGATTAGTTCGCAGATTTGGTGTCCTCGTTGCCAAGCTTGTCCAGCAACGTGATGCAGGTTTGCATTGCGAAGTAGGCTACACGGTTGTCTTCTAGCCAACGCCCTGAATTCTGTTAGTTTTTTTTTTTTTTTTTTTTGGTAAAATTGGACTCAATGGAAAATACATACAGAACATCTTCGCATCCCGATCCGAGGAGTTGGTGACTTGCATCAGGATCATCTTTTCAGCTTCACTCAGACGAAGCTGGCGCTCAAATACATCGTAGCAGAGCTGCTGGACCCGAACAAGCTCGTCGGTTTTGCGAGGATCATGTCGCCAAAAGTTGATATTTTCAGCGACAGTACGCCTGGAAGAGTTAGTAAAACCAATAAAGAACCGTTGGATTAACTTACGTCATGTAGTATTGCTGGAGACCAATTCTGAAAATGAAGTGGTAGCCATATTTTTTTGTAAGATGGGCAAGGTGTTCGTTCGCTCTCTTCTCCATTGAAAGAAGGGCTCTGTGAAACTCAAACTCCTGCTCCCCGCTTATCCAGCTCTCGATGGCAGGGTCGAGGATACTGTAGAGTTCAATAGGATGGCCTTCAAAGTCGGGAACAGTTGGAGTGATGCGAAAGTCGGTCATAAGAGCTTGGAGGAATACTCCAAAGCGGGAGGCAGGAGCGTGTCTATCCTCTGTCATCGACCTGGTTCTATGAGAGGTATTGATCACCATCTCCCCGTTACTCAGAGCAGATATCTGGGCCATCAGTCGGTACACGTTTCTGTGTTCAGAGTACGAAGCGGTAATGTAAGTGGCCTGGTCCCTAGTCGCTGGTGGAAGACCTGGGCTCTGAGACAGAAGGGCGAGGAAACCGATAAGCTTGGTACCGAGGCGGCGGTTCATATTAGACATCTTGACAGGATATAAACCTCGAGGTTGTTGATAAAGATTCAGATGCCTTTGGCAAAAAGAGGGAAATGAGGCTTCAGTTGACGAGGGTGAGAAAGAAAGGAAGTTTGTGGAGAGTGGAAAGTTGGAAAAGATTGGTAGAGATGAAGAAAAAACAAGAACTTTTTATTTTTTATTTTTTATTATTTTTTATTTTATTTTTTTCCCCTTCTTCTTGTTAGTTTGCCACTCTCGAGTACATTCACTTGTAAACAAAGAAATGCGTTAGTTAGTCTCCCCTCGGGGAGGCTTATAAATCATTCTGCACTGCTCTTCTCGTCAATCCAAACTTCTTCTATTACTCTCAACACTATCTTCAAATGACTTTCTTTCTGTTTGCTTTCTGGTGTTCTGAAACCTCAACTCGTCGAGTGGAGGGACTGGCAACCCTGGCTCGAAACATAGTTTGCACACACAGAAGCGACGATTAAACCGGGGATGTGCGACAAATTCCTCCCATCGTTTCTGTTTAGAGATACCCACCCTCCTCCGTCTAATACTTTTCTCTTGAGTCTACATTTACAACCCATTTTGTCTTGGGTTCCTGTCATCCATTTCCTGCTTTTGATGTGCGGCGTACATGTCTTGAATCTGCATTGTATTAGTTCGACTCCTCTATTCATCGGTGCAGTTCGCAGTGTATGGCGTCTTAATTCTGGGTTACTGCCTGATCGATTGGACTGTCATTTGCCGGCTACGTGTGATCCATTGAAGTAATTGGAGCAACATCTTGCTAATATCATCATAGTGTCTGGTTACTTTCCAACTAATTCAGTTACTTTTTATAAGTGTATCACACATCAAGTCAGCTCCGCGATGGCCACACGCCTGCATGCATGACCTGATAGTCCGGCATCGATATCTACCATCTTCAGTAGCTCAACCAAGACAGTGCTCTGAAGGCATTCGAGACGATGCGGAAGTATATCTTGCCCCCACATGTCAGTTATTTCCCATATAGAAGCCACCCGAGACAGTTTCGAGTTTGAGTGGGGAGACTTTGAGCCTGTAGTCCTTATGGAGGAGGATGGCAAATACAAAATAAACAACCTTTATGCTACAAAGATGCAGCAGTATCTGAAGTATTTTTTTTTTTTTTCCAACGACCCTTAAGACAGACATTCACTTAGACAAAGGGCGAATTTCTCTTAGCATCCACATGACCAGGAACCTTTTCCATTCACTTTCATACTTTTCCAGAACCCCCAGACTGCAGCTTTTGAATCCAGTCAATATTTTTTTCTGTTGGACATGAACTTGAAGTCGTCATCTACTCATTATTTTATTGGTACATGCTTTTTCCTGGGAGGCATTTGTGATGCTTAGATCTAGACATGCCACATACAAGTGGTGGGTAACTATGCGGATTGCAGATTAGGTTCGCAGACATTCATGAATTTATACCGGATATCGAAAAGCTTACCTTCCTATGGACGAAGCATATGTCGTGTGAGCGTCTGGACAGCACAATATGTACCCAATTAACATGCTATTACCGGAGATGTTTCCGGATCTAAACATCGGCATCATTTGCAATAGCGAGATATCGGAACATTTACACGACCGTTTCGACATGAAATGGGTCATTTCGTATTCTGGACAGGGGTACCACATTTGCAAATCTCAAATACGCTTGTCTTGCAATGGCAAGACTTAGTCTTTCTAAGACTAGTGCAGTGAGGGTACCAAGACAGGCTAGCAAGTACTCAGAAGCTTGCAATGGCTTTTGACTGGAATGCGATGTTCGTATTCTATTTCAAGGAAATAGAAGACTCTTAACTGCACGTGGTGCATTCTTCAATGAGCCTGAGAACATAGGAACCTTCCGGCTCTGATCTTTCCCTCAATCGACACGTCATGTTGCTGTCTCTTTTTTTTTTTTTTTCCACAGGTTCTAAATATTTCGCTCCGTTAACATGGACGTGAAGAATGCAACGAGACAACCAACTGAACAGGACCAGATTCAATACTGGCCTGACGCATACAAAGCGTTTAAACTACAGAATAATCACATCTGGAATACGCTGTGGTCTCCAATTGGTCTGTGATTTCGGTGACCCCCAGGATATTCACCAAGAGAACGTACAAGCTCTCTTAACATTCACCGACCTGGAACGTCTTCCAGCATGTTATCCAGCTTTTGCACTGCAGCTTTTGCATCCAGTCAACTCTTCTCCGTCGAGAATTTATCCTCCCGGCGTCTGACAACGCGAAGTCGTGTCCATTGACACAGCCGTTTCGTAAACGGTCTCGTTTACGGAGAAACGAGAGAGGTTCGCTATCCTGGAGATGAAGAACGCATATTCAATAAGCGAGAACGGCTTTCTCCAAGCACGAAAATGGGTCGGTCGTCCGGAGAATATCTTCAACGGTCTGTTGGACCAAGAACTTACCTTTCCGGAAAATGGGCCATAATTCAACAAGCGAATAAGTATTCAGATGCCACAAGCAATATATACTTTACAAAGATGTCGCCGTTTTTGATTGGAACGCATTGTTCGTATATGATGATTCAAAGATGTCCGAGAGTATCTTGACTTACGAAGGAGAGCCGTACTCCAGAAAATGTCGCGATATGGTCGGGAAAGATTACCCAACACTGCCAATGAAACAAGCATCGCACAGCCAAGATGATAACCAAAGCGATCCGGACACGGAATAGTTCCGTTCTTGTGGGCTATCGGCTGTGGGGGGAAATCGGATATAAGGGCCTTCGCACTCTTGGAGTACGGAAGCAAAGATTCTGAGATGGTCGGACTTCGCAGGATCGTGCAGTAATTTGCAAACATATGTCGAAAACAACGCAGGCGGTTAAGCATGCCATGGTGTGGTAATATGCTGCGGTATTTGATTGGACTTCATGATTGTCTTGGGTTTTTTCACACGATGTCGGACTCAAGTCCGTACCTTCCATTAGGAAGATGGAGAAAATGCGCCGTGGCATGATATATCGGCTCGAGATGGCCATCCGTTCCAATAATAGTGTGTAATGCCATTGTCAGAAGTGTGTTGTCATGGATAAACATCTAGCGGCAGACTTCGTTAAGATACTTGTCTCCGGCTCACAGGGACATGTTTCGAATATTTATTGTGTGTCATTAGTTCTGCTTGTGCGAGTTGATTCTGGATTCATGCGTGATGTTAAGAAAGGATTTGATGTGGCTTTGCTGGGATTTGACTACTCTGCATTAGGGAAGAGGCGTGTTGTCTCGGAGAGGTGGCTATTGTATCTGCTTGTTCTGTCATGCTTGCCACTCCTTCATTGAGTTCCCTGACGTCGTTTCCATGTTTTTTTTTTTTTTTTTTTTTTTTTTTTTTTTTTTTTTTTTTTTTGCCTTTTAAGCGAGTCTACGTCTTTACTCAGTGACTTGAGTATATAATGAACTATTGAACTTATTCTCCGAAAGTAACCTGACTATCGTATTGTTATTCTTATACAAACAAACAGTTCCAGTCCAAGCTGGAAAATATCAAACTAATATAGATAAATAGAAACACATATCCACTTCAATACATTAGACCACATGTAACCCTCCAACATCACACTATTCAGTGCGACACACTTAGAAAGCCATAACCATAGCAGCAATGGCAACAGCACCAGCAGGACCGCTCATCTTGTTAACGGAAGCAGCACCAGTGAACTGAGGAGTACTGCTGCTCGAAGCCGCAACGCTGCTGCTAGCAGACGAGGTAGCAGGAACCTTGAACAGCGACGACGAAGTAGGCTTAGCAGTCTGCGAAGAAACAGCCGCCGCACTGGAAGTCTCAGCAGTCTCAGTCTTAGCCGCAGGAGCAGCAGTGCTCACAGGCGCCTTGGCAACCTTGTTAGCAGAGTTCGAGTTGGCGACGTCCTTGAAGTCCTCGACACCCTTCTGGATAGCGTCGGAGATACCAGAGGCAAGCGAGTGCGCGATATCGTGCAGGTTATCAGGAGTCTTGGAGACGATAGCGTCGGAGAGCTTGAGGGCAGCAGTCTTCTGCTTCTGCAAATCGTTGTAGGTCAGCGAGCCCTTGCCCGCGTCGACGATCTTCTGCTTCTTGCCGTTGAGGTCGGAGATGGTGGACTGGATCTTGTCCTTGAGATCGGAGACGGGCTTCTGGAGGCCCAAGGCGTCCATGCTGTTCAGCTCATCGCCGCCGTTGACCTTGGTGGTGCCGGAGTTGATGGCGTCGACGAGGGAGTCCGAGGCGGACTGGACGGGCTGCGTATCGCCACCATTGTAGTTGTTGATGGCGGTGTGCAGGGTGCCGACCTTGTCGCTGATGCCGGAGAGGACGCCGGTGATGGAGGCGAGGTCGCGTTCGACGTGGGTTGGGCCGCGGGCCTCAACGGTGGGGGTGGCCAGGACGTTGGCCGAGAGGGCCAGGGTGGTGAGGACGGAGAGAGAGAACTTCATTTTGGTGAGTTTCGTTTAACGAGTGTCTTCGTTGAAAGAGTGAAGAGATTATGAATAGATTGAAGTGGATGCTGTTGATGAACAGTTACTCGACGAGGATGCAGCTCTATTTATGCAGCAACAGGACCCTGTCTCAAATGAAGTGCCAGAAATTCGCCATCTTCAAAATTGGGTGATGCATCAAATTCCAGCCAGCATTTGGGCGATCCCCCAGACGCCATGGCCAGGCCAAAAACGAGAGCCTAGCTAAAATTGGTATCATCATCATTTAATTCTGAATGTTGCTGAATGTGAAGAGCCTGTTTTGCAGCCGTATGAAGCAATGGTGGTCGCAGCTGGCCAGGGGATTACCCGATTCGGCATTAGTGAAGCCAAAGAGACTCAATTTTGGGCATACCGTTTGGCTGCAAAATTGGCCGAGTAGAGTGTGTGTTTCATAAACAGACAATCCGTCAACAGAGTTTACTCTGAAATAAGGCTGAGGCAATAAACTGTCCAATCCTGTGCATTGTGCCCCTGGCCTGGTGCCGTTAAATTGGCGAACTCAAAAGAGATCGAGCCGTTGAAGGACCGCCCGGGAAGCATTTTTGGGTTGCCTTATGGCAATGGTAATTCTATTTGGACATTATAAATAAGAATGCTCCGTTGAGGCGAATCGAGTCGTTGGCTCAATAATGCGCCGTCTGTATTTTGGGATGTTTCACCTCATTTGCCATTGCAAGTATATAGGCCAGGATCCCAGTGCCTTTCCTAAGAACTTTTAATTGTTAGTTTTGTTCAATTTCAGTTTTTCCCTTCTGTATCATGTCCCCCATGTACTCCATACTGTACGATACCCCTGATTCAAGATCTAAGGTTATCTCTCGGATCTCCCGGACATACGCATAACCGTTTCTTCCGGCATCCGCTGATGAATGCGATGAAGATGCTATAAAAAAGAACACTCGGTGCAAAACACCCGAGCTCTTATTGTCATCGACACGTTTTCTTCACTTACGTAGACTGTTCCCGGGGTTATGAAACCCGGGATTCCCGAAGTGGATTCGATGGATTCAAAATTTCCCTTTTAGGATGACGGAATTCCCGACGCCTTTTTTATATCTGTACTCCGTAGTCTGTAGATGTTCTTTCCGTTCACTCAAAACAGCTATCTTCAATCGCAACAAAATGCGCTCGTTCTTCCTTCTGGCCGCAGCCGGCCTCGCCTCCTCCCTGTCTGTGGACGACCTCTACCTCGAAAACGCGCCCTCCTCGCCGCGTCCGTATATCATCCCTCACTATGCCGACTCGCACTCCGTCTACGTCGGAAGCCAGGTCTACCGGTTCCCCGTGACCGGTCCGTCGTCAGACTATGCATTCACGCTGATGAGCACGAATGCGCCCGCGAGCGGGTCGCTGGGTGTGCTCCCGCATATCCACCAGGCGCATTATGAGAACTTCTTCAACTTCAAGGGGCGGTTCCAGCTGTGGGCGCAGAAGGATGATGCCGAGCAGCAGGGAAGACTGTTGACGCAGGGTGACTATGGCTCTGTGCCGAGGAATACCACGCATACGTTCCAGATTTTGGATCCGGATACGGAGATGGTTGGCGTTGTTGTGCCGGGTGGATTTGAGTACGTCCCCATCACTACTAGAAATGCATTCCGTACAGAGAGCTAATGAGAATAGGGACCTCTTCTACACTCTCGGCCAGAACTTCACCTCCTCCACAAACACCCCCTACACCCCCGCCGCCATCAACGAGTCCTCCCCCAACGCCAACGCCATCTCCAGCCTACAAAAATTCGACGTCTACGCGAAACTAGACTTCAACCCCCGTCGCGATTTCGCCAACGGCTCCGCCCCATCCAGCAACTGGCACGAACAGTCCAACTCACTCGGCACCCCGGAAAAGCCGTACTTCATCGCCAACAACTACGGACCCAAGTACCTCAACACCCAGCACGGGGCGTACCAGATCGTGCAGCCGCTGGTCTCGCCGTCGCAGTCACAGGATGTGAACTTTACCATGTCGACTATTCTGATAAACCGCCCGCGCAACGGTGCGAGTGGTGCGACTGTGCCGACGTGGAAGGGCCCCGGGGCGGCGGCGTTTGAGGTGCTGGAGGGGTCGTTGAAGATTCAGATTGGGGAGTATCCTGTTGCGACGCTGAGTTCGGGGGACGTTACGTTTATTCCGAAGAAGACGGAGTATAAGTATTGGACTGAGGGGGCTGTTGCTAAGGTGTTGTATGTGAGTAGCGGGAAGGAGGGCGTTGACCAGCGGTTAATTCGGGATGGGAAGAAGTGGGAGTATGTTGCGTTCCCTAGGCATTAACCATAGCCTGGTAGCCTGTATATATATATAGATGTAGGAAAGTTCAAACTTGCTTGTATAGATTGCAGGGAATTCATGATAGTTCCTTCCTAATCCAGTAACCTAGACGAACCTTACATTGTACACATGTGACCTCATCTTCACTCCTTACTCAAGCCTGTCTGTCCTCTTTTTCCTCTTTCCTCTCGAAAACAAACGACACTCAAAACCAACAAGCAAAATGCTCGCCCTCGAACCCGTCACAGAAGCCGACCTCCCCGCAATCACAGACCTGTGGTACTCCGCCTTCGGCCCCTCAGGCTTCCTCGAACTCATCCCGGACACCCCCAACGTCCGCGACTGGTGGGACTCAGCCAACAGTCACGACCTGCACCACAAACCCACCGCCTACTACTGGAAAGTCGTCGACACCGCGCAACCCTCGAAACCGCTCGTCGCATACGCGAAATGGGATCTGGAGAGCGCCGAGGAGCGCGGGGATCGGTTCCCTCCGTGGCATGCGGAGATGAACAAGAAGGGGTGTGATGAGTTGTTTGGGAAGTTGGAGAAGCAGAGGAGTTTATTGTTGGGTGGGACGAAGAATTATTGTATGTCCCTCATGGCTTGATTTGGAGGTAACTAGTTAAAGAGTATGGGAGGACCTGTATCTCGCTTGACGGGGCGCCTGGAACATCAAAATCAGCACCCAAGAGAAACACGTCTTTTTCACGCGTCAATCGACCGATAGGGGCCTTCTGGCACCTATAAACCACCATGGAGGCTCTGAGACCCCGTGGTGGTGGTATATCACACGCGTCACCCCCCGGAGTGGGCAACGTGGCCTCCCAATTCGCGGAAACACAAGATATGCCAGTCACCCCAACGCCAACCCGCTGGCGATCTGGGAACGCGATGCAACCTGGAATTAATGAAGGCAGCATGGAGAGTATGAGCGTGGATGAAAATGAAGGCCAGGAGCGCGGGCGACCTGGGGGATCCAGCCGGGGCCCCAGCCGGGCCAGCGAGGCTAGAAGTGGAATCAGACAACGAAAGGTCCTACAAAAGTCATTGATTGGTAGGTCAAAGCACCAGTCTTCCCTACTGGATGCGAGCAAGCACGCCCAGGTGTTAGTAGGGGCCCTAGAAGCAGCCCAAACACAGCAACAGGAAATGTACCAGGCGGTCCTAGAACAAGTGCAAGCACACATGGCAGAGGAGCTATCCAACTGGAAAGCAGAACAACAACTCCATGAAGGAATCTATCTTGAGCGAATCACAAATCTGGAACTGGAAGTCAGCAAGCTTCGTACAGAGCTCATGGAGGCCCAACACACTATTCAGCGAACTGGACCAGTGAAGCAAGATACACCGGCAACCAATGCCCAATTGAGTCAAATGAACCGGCATGATAACAACATGATCTCCAAGAAAACAGAAGTGATGAGCCAAAAGTCAAAGCAGAAACCCACATTTGCAGACCTAGCTGCACTACTCTCCACTAGACCTGGAGGACAGGAATGGCAGGAGG